CTGGAGCGTTGCCACTCTGCCGCGTATCCGACATAGCAATAGCTTCATCACCAGTTCCATTTGTTAGAATTGCATCACCTGTCATTAAAAAGCCACACGTTTAGAGAAGGCAGTGCACTACACAAAGAAAAGAAATAATCCTAGAAAGCTTTTACCCATATGGTTTCCGTGGTCAAAGTCACCATCAGAAGTGTGATCAACAGCTTTATCTTTTACTTCAATATTGGTCTCATCAGGGAACACAACCTTGTTATTTCCAAAAGTTGCATCACCAGACAAAAGCTTTAATTCATCTTTCTCTTGTTTTTGCAGCTGATGTTCCTCTTCAGCCTTCCTCTTTGCCTCAGCAATCTCTTCCTCTTCTCTCAATCGGTCAGCCAAGTCATCTTCCTTCTCCCTTAACCTCCTTTTCCTCTCCTCCACACTGCTCTTATATTTTCTCTTTTTGGAATAACCATCATCACTCTCGTACTCTTGATCCATTATTTCCCGTTTCCGCTCCTCTTGCCTCTGTTTCTCCTCCTCTTTTTCCATCTTCCGTTTGCGTTCTCTCTCTCTTTCTCTATCTTCCCAATCCTTAACACGTGTCCTATACCTGCGCTCATCTTCCCGGATCTTATATTCTCTGTCCCTCTCTCTCTTAGCTCGTTCTTGCTCTCTTTCTCTCTCAAATCTTTCAAGTTCCCTTTCTTTTTCCCGTTTCAGATCTCGCTCGCGGTCTCTGCCCCTCCTATCATTCCTTCTGCTCCTGTCGGGTGAACTTGTTTCGGGTCTATCATGTTCACTTGGAGGTTTGCTCTCACTAGTCATCTCTTCATCATTTCTATCTTCTGCTGCATCTGCAACACGGAGGGAAAAGAAAACAGGGATAAAGTAAAAACGTTACTGGCAGACTCACACCTTATTTTCATACAGGAGTTGACAGTTGACCACTGTTAATTTGAATTTCCAATTCAATAACAACAAAAATAGAAGTAGAACTCTCAATATCGCATTAGAGACTTACCCTTTTTCGTTATGTCAACATCTGAATCCCCACCCCTTGACCTAGCAGGAAGTTCTGAGTTAGAGTTACCAGACCCTTCAGCAGCTGTTTGCGGGGGAGGAGGTGGTAGAGGTTTGGTCTTTATCCTCTCTTCTATCATGCCAGTAAGTTTCTCCGTAGCCTCCCGGTCAGCTTCCCTATCTTCAGCAGTAACGAGGCCAAAGTTGGCACTGTCATGCTTTTCTTTGTTCTCAATGGTATTCTCATTTTCCTCCGAGTCCTTTGCGGGGGGTTTCAGAGATTCCTTCTTCTCATCATCTGCTGCAGCTTTTTCCTCCTTTTCGTCCCCTTCGGCTTCAGTTAGTTTAAGATTCTTCGCATTCTCTATTTTCTTCTCAACATAACGCTCCAGATATTCTCTTGTTGCTTGATCCACATTTAACTGTAGATGTAACCAATTTACCCCCATAACACAGGTACAATATCAACCACAAAAACTTAAAACAGCCAACAAATAGATGCAGAAAGTTTACAGTAGAAATTGATTAGTGAAATTACAATATTCTGTTCTTCTGTTTTTTTTGTCAAAGTGGGCAAGTATCACAAAACTATGCTATAACCAGACATCCCTCAATTCATACTTGATTCATGTACTAAGGTATCTTTTTTCTTTCATAATTCTAATACTCTAAAGGAACGGCATTTTCAAGTTCTAGCATCGAAAATAAACCAGATCACCCTACAGTAATCCCTAAGATGCTGACATACTTCTCAATTGTAGACAGTGCAACAAGACTCCCGTCTAAATCAGAGTCTAGGAGACATAAGAGGTAGGCCCCTTGCTACTATTTTCGAAAGGCTTTATTTCTCAACTAGAACCCGCAACATAGCTTTTAGACGGATGCAATAAATTTTTCTTTCATCAAAGCTTAGTTGAGCTCTACCCATATGCTATTTGTCTTGAAGAGAATGCCTGTGTTTCCAGAATGATGGTTATATGCAGTCCAAGAAGTAGACATACAAGGGTTTGTAACAAGAAACATTCAAAGAGGCGTTCAATCAATTAAATTAAACTCCATCCATAACGGACATTAAGTAGCCATTATATTTAAACTGCCCCCTCGAATACATTCTTCACAAAAGACAGTTTTTTAACCACCTTTTCCAAGGATTAGTAGTAACTAGTATCATGCTATAGCATAAATCAGCGATCAAAAAAGGAAACTTACAAGATTGATTTCCAAGAGATCTTTGAATTCACAATAAATTTGAGAGGTTGCATAAAAAAATCAAAGCATACAAGTGCAGGTGAGGTGAAATACCCCATAGAACCCCCTGAAAAGAAAATGTGTGGGGGCAGAGGATTGGATAAAACTACCATACGAAAAAAAAAATTAAACATAAAACAGATAGCTGTCCTTATTTCACTGCAAAAAACTGAAGAATTATAATTTTGGCTGACCAAACCACTAAAGGAGTAATCAATACCAACAGAAAAATGGATCGTCAAACATGGTGATGCTTTCCTTCCTTCCTTCAGAAAAAAAACATGGTGTTGCTCCACCAATGAGAGGGGATACAGCATTGAATTACTAAATCATTATGCAATTTTGGCTGATCAACATATACTTCTCAGCCAGATGGCCAGAATGCTTGTAGGGGTGTATGGTAAACATATGTCCATTAGTCAAATGACCAGACTGCTAGGAGACATGTACGAGTAAGTTTACACACAAAAACTACAAAAAACGAAATATGTGATACATCATAAACAGCTAGCATGTTGCTTCTTACGAAAATAAATAAATAATTAATCAATAGCTAGTATGGAAGTTGACTGAGATAGTTCCAACATGAGCAACAAAAACAAAGGTCGGCATGAATGAGTGTCATAGTTCCACAAGACTGCAAATACAACCATGTTGCAAATCAATGATGAAAAGAAAAATAGGGCTCATATTAGGTAAAAAACTATTCTTATGCCATGAGTTGAAATAAAACGCAGCAAAGCAGAGCAATTAAATGCCACCCACATAAATTACAATGTATAATCTGTATTGCATCTATATGTTCGAATGTTCTATATTGTTAGGTGTCAAATACCCAAGTTCAAAATAAATTAAGAAAAAGTATGATGCCCTGTAACAAAAGTGCACAACTACTTACACTGCAAATATTAATAGTCTACATGCCTCAAGAAGCTAACATAATCAATCTAACAGTAATAGCATAAGATTGTGCATTTAATGTGGATCATTGCAATGTACAAAATCATGACTCCACCTCAAATAAAATACATGTAGGATAGCAAAGAAAAGCTAAATTTAGCAGGAGTTTATGAATTTTGAATTCTTTTTGCTCCAATCATCATGGTCAACTTAGAAAACACAAACAAATTGAACTGAGTAAATGTAAACTAGTTCTCTTCCAAATATTAAAAAAATCAAACATAAAAATCAATGTAAAACAACAGAGAGAGCATGTGCACCAATGAGAGTTTGAAAAATACGAAAACATTAATCCAAAGATTCAGTCATGTTTAAAGCAGGTAAGCTGTAATTCACCTAACTATCTGTAGGCACACCCAAGACGACCACTCAAACACAGATGACGGTACATTTTCCTTTGTTTTTTTTTTTCGGTTTTTGCCTGGGGAAGAGTTCATGCTAGTTGCTTGCATGCATTCAATAATATGTTGGAAAGCAAGTGTATGAGTACAAAACGCATAACTGGGGACAAGAGAAGAACAAAGTTGAAATCTGCTTTCTTAGTGAAAGCAAATTCAAAATACAAAGACAGAAAGTACATAATAGTGATTGGCCAATTCAAAATAACAGACTTGTGAGCCCTATCTGGCAATTTGATATATTAACTGTCATGTCACAAACAATTAGCCAAGAGATACGCTAGAGATATAAAACAATTAGGAAAGAATATTGTGATAGGGGGGAGTCTGATCATACCATCAACTCTTGACCATCAATGTTTAATTTACTGAGTAGTCTGAGTGCACGAAGAACCCCTTCAGCAGAATCAAATTCACAAAACCCAAAGCCCTTTAAAGTTCCATTTGAAGGGTCTTGGGCACGTTTCCAACTCTTGACAGGACCACAAAGCTGCGGAAAATTAAACACAAGTCAGAACTTACTGAACTGAGAGCTCCAAGGCATAGGGCAAACCCCGAATTATAAACTAAATAGATGTTGACTAAAACCACGCATCAAGTGAATGACCTACTTGCAGAAGAGACGTCATGAAATCATTTTCCACAGTTGACGCAATCTTGCCGACATATACAGTGGTTTGTGGCTTCTCTGTTGGCGTAACAATTGGAATGACCACAGGTCTAACAATAGGAGGGAGGATTGGACCACGAAACCCGGGAATTGGAGGGCGTGACAGTGGTGGAAGGATGCCAGCTGGTCCTGGAGGACGTGGAGGAAATGCTGGTCGAACCATTGCTGTATATGGATAAGGATAGCGAGGGATTCCTGCAAGCAAAAAAAATCTTTGCAAAAAAATCAGGGCATGTTTAATAACTAGATACAGTTACAACAATCTTTGTCCTGTTGATCCAGGTGTATATAAAGAATTTCATGAAAACAATCAAATACTGTTACCCAAAATTACAAGCAACTAGAGATGGCAGCACAGGCATGACAACACTCACCAGCTGAACAGATAACCTGAAGGGACATGAAGAAATAACATCGTATTCATAAATCATGGAAGTGTCAGGTGTGCTTACCTTTCGCATCCAGTTGTAAAATAGTAGCCTTCTCAAACTATCCAATGCACCAGTTGTGAAGATTTGAAATGAGTAACATGAAAATGGGATTGCAATGTCTATTTCACACCAATGCAACTGATGACATAACAGTATATTTCGATATTCCAAAATCTCTTAAGTATATCGGCCATTAACAACCTAATGCACAGCATAACAAATGCAAAGAAACGGAAAGCAGAGGGTGGAATTGAAAAGATTGTGATACCTTGATAACAACGGCAAGGAGCAGTCAATTGGTATCATAGTCTGCTGCCGGCAATTCAAGAATTGGGAAACCATTAAAAGGAATTTATCCTTATAACTACGAGATGATATCCTACTAAACGAAAATGGCAGAACCATACATTATAGAGTATGACATATGGGAAGATCACATTAGTCCAAATTGTTTCTTAACGTTCAATTTGAAATCTCAGAGGCCAGTTTGAGCATAAAACAGTAATTTTTTTTCCCAGCAAGACAATTCTAAACTTGATAATCAAGGAAACAAAGCAAACGGGTGCATACCAAAAGGGGAGTTGTAGAGTGGTAGTCAGTCTCTAAAGAACAGCAATATGAAGCCTTCCAACCTTTCTCACCGTTATCAATCAAGAAACTGTAGGAGAAAAGATCCCGTCATCGATACCCCTTATACAACCAACACGAATCCCCCCAAACTCCTCTCAACCAAATCCTAACCCTCCTGGTCACTCACTTAACTCTAATATAACAGAACATAAAATAACATAACCCACGCTATCATAGAACTGTAGTATTGTAGCTAATATACACAAGATTCAAACAAAAGTAACATATTTTCTTACTATTTTGCCAACATGCACACGAACAAGATGCACATACAGTTTCATGCATCAAAGCCTACACTAAACACAATAAAATGTAAGCATTGTACCCTCAGACAATGAGAATTACAATCATACCTTCAAAACAATGAGAAACCAAATAGGACCTTCAAAACAATGAGAACCACAATCATACCTTGAAAAAGGTTTTAAATTCAAAAAGGCTTTATATTTTGCAGCTCATGAAAGAATGAATAAAAAATTACAGATATCTACATGAAAAAATAACAACGATAGCCTTCAGATCTTTTTAACTACCAACATTGAACACTCTTCAGTTATAGAGGGGAACCAAAAACAACTTTTCAGTTCTAAATTAGGAACACTTGAGGTTATCTGTAGAATGATACAGATAGTACATGATTTTAGAGAGAGGAAGACATAAAAAAAGGGAGAGATATTATGAGAACAATAACCCACCCGGAGGAGGAATTGTGCCTTGAGGAACTGGGTATCCATTCGGCATCGGAGAGTATGGTCTCATTGCCGGATTTGGAGGCTGGCCTGGCTGAGCATATGGCGGCATAAATGGCAGCACCGGCGACACTGAAACCTGCGGAGCACCGCTCACTGCCGCCGGCGGTATCATACCTGGTGGCATCGTACTAACACCAGGTGGCGGAACTCCGGGATTCTGATAATTATGAGGAGCCTGCAAATTAGGGTTCGGAAGAGGCGAAAATTGCGGAATAGAAGGGACCGGAACTGGTGGCGCCGCCGGTCGGAAAGACGGTACCGTCGGAGGCATAGCGGAGTATGGTTGGATAGATGGCGCTGGTGGTGGTGGTGGTGGTGGTGGTGGCGGCGGCGTAGTTGAGTTCGGGTTAGGGTTTGGAGTAACAGATGTGGGTGGATTTAAAGAAGGTGGTGGCTGTGATGACGATGGAACGGGTTGGTTAGGGTTATCGGGTTCGGGCTGTTGGGAAGTGGGATCTATGGTGGTTTCAGGGGAGGTGGTTGAGTCCGCCATTGATGCAGAGATAGCTTCTGCGAATACGGAGGAGAGAGATTGTGAAGGTGTGTTCGATTATCTCTGGTCTTTCTTTTTCTTTTGTGTAACGTGCTTGCCCTAGCGAGCTCAAGAACGAAGAATAATTTTATTTTTATGCAGATTTTGGGGGAAGAGATTTGGTGGTCTGTCGGTCTAGGGTTCGTTTTATGATGACGCATGACGGCGTGAGTAATGGTAATATACCGGTGGTCTATTATCGGTGGAAAACAATAAAGAGTGAATTACATTCACCTCTCTTGGATTTTGTTAAAATAATAATGAGACCGCTTATAGTAAAGGATTAAATTTTTGTTTCAGTATAATATTTCGGTCACCTAAAAAATATAAACATTTTCGGAGATGTTGTGAAAATATTTTGGAAACAATATGAAACTAATAAAATTTTTGAGAGTTTATTTTCAAAAATATTTGTCAAAATATACCAGATATCTCAAAACACCTTAAAATAATGATAAAAACATGTTGAAACATCACAAAATACTTCAAAATATTTTAAAATACCTTAAAGTATTAGAAAGTCGATTGCATCGCTGTTTCGTTTCGATCCTCTTAAAAATAGAAATATTTCGATCATTTCGACTATTTTAAAATGAATTTTTTATCATTACTTATAGTCTTATGGCGATGGAAAGTAATATTGAACTCACTTGTCATTGTTGTCCTTCTCGTTTGTCTAATAGAAACTAAAAAAATGAGACTATAATGAATTTAATATGAAATGATTATCTAGTGCGGTTTAATCTTTAACAAGTTCCTTATCACACAATCATAATGTGTCTTCTCATATATTACCATCAAACACTTATTCACTCACCAACTCTAAGGATGATGAACGCTCACTCTTTTTTGTTTGTCCCTATTAAAGACTATTACTATTTTTCTAAATTCCATTTTGATCTCTATGCGTGTTTGTGTGTGTGGAGAAAGAGAGAATAATTGACAACAAGATACGTGACAATTGATTGTGATGGCCTCTTTGATCCTCAAGTTTATGCATGAAATGTTTTCATGCAATCTAGGGTTTGGAGGATAAATTTCAGGCAACTAAAGATTTCAATAATTTCAAGACTAATTTGCGTTGCGTTTCTTACTCTTACAAATGGACTTAAGATTTGTAGTTTGTATTTATTTTTTTGCAGTATTTGTGCGTCCCTTGAGGATGGTGAGCCATTTGAGCTTACAGTTGGAAACGCTAATTGACTAGGCTTTGCACTCTTAAATTGGTTGTTTGTTTATCTTTGTTAATTGATAACTCTATGTTCTCTATGTTTTTCCTCATATTTGAGAAGTATGTGCTAATTTGTTGCAACAATGTATTACGAGAGAGGGGTATATTTTGATTTATGCTTAGAAACATAAAACAAGTACTTCCATACATTGAATTAAGTATTTTTAACATCAAGAGTTTCAAAATTGTGTTTTGATTGTGCTTAGATTTACAATTTTTTTCTCCTTACAACGTTTGAGATGATTGTTGTGGCTTTAATATTTGGATTTCAAGTTATGATGGTTGGTTGTGGGGATGACAATGTGAATGTAAAGTGTGGATAGGAGGGAACGAACAAAAATGTTGTTATGATGGTTTGGTTATGTGATTATGGGTCGTATTGGTTGATTTTGGGTGATTTTTTGTTGTCGTGATAGTCAAGAATGACATGACATTGATGAGGCAAGGAGATGCATGAAGCAGGAAAAAAGTGTGTGTGTTGGGGGGGGGGGGGAAGGGTGCATTGGGATACTTTGTAACACAAGTATAAGGTCTTTATTACATGGATAAGGTTTGTTTGGCAACAATTCAAATACATGTTGGCCTTTGTAAACAAGTATAAGTTCTTTTTTAGAATATTAATTGCTTAACATTATCCAATTCTTAACGATTTCTTAAACAAAGTACAAACTGCATAAGAATTTGTTACCTAAAACCAAAGTAGAAAATCACATAACATTATTATCAATACATGGAGAAGTCTCGCAATTATTTGAACAATCTCAGTGAAAGTGGATGCAATATATCTAAAAAATTATGTTCAATCGTGCAAGACACACACACACACTATACTCAAAATTCTTTTGGGTAGTTGATAATCTTATTCTAAATCATTCACTATTAATCAAAATGAAATCAATTGTCTTCAAATGACCATATCAATGAAATTTACTAATAGACCTTTGATCCAATAATACTCATTATTTTGTGAAAACTTTGTCTTTTTGAGGTCAAAAGTTCAAGTCCTCTTTCCCTGTCCCCTAAAAAAAAAAAATTGTAAGAATTTGACATAAAATATAATCTTATTTCGTGTGACAAAAATCACAAGTTCAAATATTTCAAAGGTCGAACTTTTTAAAGCGAAGTTTGACTCTATGTAAACACATTATGGGGGTTTTATAACCAAAATTAAATTTTTATTGCTAGGCTTTTATGGTGGCCAACCATTAATTATGAGTTAAATAAAATTTGATACAATTTAATTCAAATACTATAATTTTAACATGACACGATTCATTATCAATCATGATTCAGATTCAGGTTCAGCTAGGCCATACATTATGATTAATACAAAGTTTTGTATTCTCCCTACAAAATTTTTTTTTGGAAAAGAAGAGTTCCACATAATTTTTTGGATTTTTTGTTAGAGGGAAAAATGGAAGGGCGGGTATTTTTTTTCATTTTTTTGATGAGAAGGGAAGAACCGCCGAGATTTGGCAACTTCCCAGTTTTTTTTGGTACGAAAATGTGGCTAAAAGATACAGAGAGCCCGTGACTCAGTGGCCACAGACAGCCAATTACTACCGCCAGAACTAATTTGACTACTTCCACTACACTGTCAGAGTAATAATTAGAACTATGAGTTGTGTCGAGTGACTGTTTGAAAAAAATAAAATCATATCTAGTGATATAAAATTTTATCGGGTTTTATCAGGTTCGTATGTCACCCATATTCAAGTCGTTTATTAATTTGTATTTAACGAGTCATATTAAATTTATATAATATATGAATCATATGTAACATGTATATTAACAAGTTATATTGTATATTTTTCTTTTAATTAATTTCATCAGGGTTCAGGTTCCGCTCATTTCTAAAATCGAAAATTTAAAAAACACCAAAATTTTTAATTTTATATCCTATTAATTATCCCGAGTTCAATCGGACTCGACACGGATTCGGATTATCTGCTTTTATTTTTTTAACAGTAGGGTGTCGTTCCTTAAAATGACACGACGACATCGTTGTGGTGTGAAAATCATCGTTTTGAGGATCCAGACTCGACTTGACACGGCTCCATTGCTCTGGCAATAGCCTTTCCCTGTTCTTTTTCCTCATTTTCTCAGCTCCACTTTCACCCTCCGTCCTCACTGCCACCACATAGAGACACAGACTTGCAGAGAATAAAATCAGTGCCATTGACTGTAAGTAACGTACGTTCTCATGCATGGAAGGAGGAGAGAGAAAGAGGACAAAGCTAGACCTAGATTGGGGAAAGCTCTTGTCTGATCATATAGATGAGGATGAGGAGCCTCCGACGGTAATGGTGGTTACAAACACCGGTGCGGCAGCGGAGAAATTGAAATCGGCGGCGATGGATGACGAACAACAACAGAACGGGTTTAATCATATGAACGACAGAGAACTGAATGACGTGCTTGAAAGGAACATACAGAATCTTAAAAGTCTCGGTGACAGGTTGCCGGATAAAGGCCAGAAGCTTAGGGCCAGTATCAAGCGCCTAGAGGAGGAGATAGAGCGAAGGCATCACCAACGAGCTGAGAAGGTTCGATTGTTATTGATATCATTTTTTTGGTCCAATTCCGGCATGAATCTTTCTCTTTCTCTCTGTTTCTTAATATTACTATAGATACACATACAAACTTGTATTATTGCGTTAGTTTTTCAAGTTGCATGTAGTACATGGAATTTTTTTTGGTGTGGGGTGCATGATTTACTGCTGTTTTTCGTTTATACAGGGGAGGACTAGCGTCTGTAAACATGAGCTGGAAGTATAAAGTTTAATCCATTCTAGAGTACAAATAGATAAGTTAAAGAGAGACTAATACAACTGTAGAGCCATTGGAGGCCGAGTGGTTTCTTAGCTAATGTTTTTTCGGGTAACCTTGTGATTTGCGATTGATGCAATTGATCACTCACTAGCAGAAATTGTAGCAGAAATTGTCCCCGTGCATGTGAAATATTAGCTGTTCATATTATATAAATGCTTTAACACAACTGAGAATTTGTTTGTTGTTTGCCATGAATTTTATTTGACAGGATAATGAAGGGTGTGAAAAGGGCAGACAATCACGGATCCCAAGTTTGGTTTGTGAGATTCTTATTGCTTTGCTAGCACATTGAATGCATTTCTTAGATTGATATCATTTTTTTTTGTTGCCCTTTTGATTACTAGTAATAGGAGCAGACTCCATTTTTTTCTAGGATTTCAAGATGCATGAATAGCTAACATGATGCTAGGTTTGCCTTGAAGCTAGAAATTGTGAAGAAAGACAAATTTCAAATTTCGGAAATTGTTTTAGTGAAAAATAAATTTCCACTAGCCCCGACTCACAACCAAAGTTGAAGAAAAACGAAGAAATTAGAATATAACTCCAGAAACTGAATGAAGAAAAAGACTTGGGGAAATCTAAGTTACCAGCTTACAATCAAAAGCTTACAAAAGGAAAAAGATTTACAAGAGAGAAAGTAGGAATAAGCTGGTAATTTTTGTTGGTGATTTGTGTTTTTGTTGGCTTTGTGATTTGGGTTGGTGGGGGTCTATTTATAGGTGACTAGAGAAGGGTCTAGAAGCTCAAGGTAGGTGGGGGTTTGGAAGGTTCAAGAATTCTAAATTAGTGGTGAACATTGGTAGAAAAGTGAAGGTTCTAGATGTTGATAGAAGGTTCAAGAAGGATACTAAGTGCAAGCATGTTCTACAAGGTTCTAGATAGTGAAATTCTCAAATACATTAATCCTCACTACATCCCTCAAAAATAAAATAATTACCAAAAGTTTACTTTAAATTTTTAATAGAAATGCTGGTTAAACACTTCAAATACAAATTATTTGTTCCTCGAATGAGCAGTATTACTTGATAGGTCCAAGTTATGAAGATGATATGCTAATTTAATAGTGGTATTTCTTTTATATGTCCTAAGTACCGAGCCACTTTCACTTTAGGTTGGCTTTCCAATTGATCTCCATCATTAGGATCACGGGCACTGAAAAGAGACATTATAGTATATCTTCTTTCATATAAATTATGAGATTTGAATTGATATGTTTTTACATAACATTTTGTGATATTTCTTAGTTTGTTAATGGATAGAGATTGGAGAGAAAGCAAGTATAGGGAAGGCATAAGGCAAGTGTTTGTGATATACTCGTTCCGTGTAATGGAATGTTACACTTCAGTCAAAACCAGTTCATTTTAAGGAGGCAGTTTTAGTTGGCCCTGAAGTATCTCTTTCTCTTTTTAATGGGAATCACTTTGCTTATTGTCTCTTCTTTGGAATACTCTTCTCTGGCCAACGATGAATTGCCTGCAATACTGGGCATATACATATGTATACACACACACACGTTCTATTGTTAACCATGTGTGATGTGTATTTTGAAAATACACTTTGGTTACTTATGATAATATAAAGAAAAAGTTACATGTTCCCTTTAAAACGGTTCATGGAAGTGCGTACAATTTTTGAATGATATAGAGAAATACAGGAATTACTTTGGATTGAAATGGGAGGGAATTTAGTTCCGTACAGATTTGGAACATATAATTATTCCTTGCAAAAGATCTGAAACTAAACAGAATTTACAGCATGGGTTGAGTATTTGCAGTTCAGTTACCATGTTTTTGCAACTTGAGGGGGATGCTAGGATCAAGATAGGATATGAAACAAGTTAGTTGTTTGATGACGTTTTTTGCACTTTTTTATGTACTGTTTGTTTCGCAGGTGCACATGATGGCTCCAAACAAGGGGATCTATCATCTCTACCATCTTCACGGTCTGCATTTGCCTCATATCTTCGCATAAAGAAAGATGAAAATGTATGATGCTTTTACTGAGTTGAGTATTTTTTTCTTGAATTTGATAGCTTTAAGCCTTTAAGCAAGCAGTATACGTGATTTACTTCTCTTTAATGCATCTAGCAGATGGATTCTAGGACAGTTGATGCCTTTGAAAAAGAGTTTGCGTATGTTAAACCCTGTGAGCACCGGAAAGTGGGACATAACAGGCAATATTCATCAAGGGGAAGACCCAAGAATAGGTTTTCTTTAATAAAAAAACCTTCTCAATGCCCTAGCAGTCTTTCCATGGGTGCTGATAAACATCATCTCTCAAATGGTGATCAAAAGGGCATGGGTTCCTCTACTTGTTCAAGTCGTGTCTTTCAGGAGAATTTGTCTGGTTGTTTATCAAAGAAGTAAGCATTATTTCTCCTACAGTTCTTTTTTTTTTTTCCTTCCTGTTTTCTCAGAATTTCGTATTTAACATATTTAGCAATAAAAAAATTTATGTATAAGAATTTACGTGGGTTTTGATGTTACTACGAGTTACGGACTTGTGGTACATATGTTATCACCTTGCCTGACAGCCTGAGTAGTGAGTATCATATTGTATGGGTTTTTATGTTTTGCATGTTTTATAATTTGTGAAATGATTTATGTGTAGTAGAATCCTTCATCTTGACAGTGGGGGTAGAGTTGTAAGCCTGGGAGTCCTATTGTATGAGTTTTCATCTTTTGTACATGTTTTATTGTTTGTGAAATGTTATATGCAGAGCAGCATCGTTCAACTTGACTATATGGGATAGTTGTATGGAGAGTTAGACCTCTGTATTTGTAATCAGTTTGTGTGATTTTATTTGCATGGTTGTGTCATACTGGATATGTATGCTAGTTATTTTTAATATAAGTAGTAGCTGTTGATTTATGAGTAAAAGTCATGAATATACAATTTTGAACATAAAACAATTCCTTGATTGGAAAATTTTTGATTTAGTACGAGAGAAGGCAAGGCTTGTTCTTTAACACTTTGTATAAGCAATGATAATTTCTTTACTGTGATATTACGTTTGCAAATTGATTGTGAGAAAGATGTTCAGGAAGGGAAAGGAAAGGAAAGGTGAACTTCCATCTTGGGTGACTGTTTGTCTTCACCAGCTCTTTTACGTTTCGATATGCACTTATTTGTTGTTCTAAAACTATTTTTCCAAGTAAAAACGCCTATATAAGCCATCTTGTTTCAGTTCAGAGAAAATTTTATTAGCAACGCATTACCATTTGGATCTCCAGGATTCTTTATTCACAGGCCTGGATGAATGCATATTGTATGTCTAATTTGCTTTTCTTCATTTGGTAGGAGAAATGCTTCTCAAGTTCAGCCTTCAAATGAGTTGAGGCTGAGGAATGTAAGTTATTTTCAGTTGCGATATTTATTCTATCCTTATTTCATAATATCTTCTGTTGCATGTTTGGAAATATATCGCAATGTGCCATCCTTTCATGCTACTATCATTTCTTTGAATTGTAGAATTCTCTTTAAGCATTCAAATTTTGATACTGCCAATGGAATTACTTAGTTTTCTGCTTTTAATCATTACACAAATGAATGACCGCTTTCCAATAACCTGAAAAATAAATCCTCAAGAGTTGTTAACCTGTTCATGTCTGCTAAAATTTCAAAAGAAAATCCCCTGGAGAGGCATACACATGATATAAAGAACAGAAAAGAATAGAAACAAAAGCAACCCAATCTCTGAAACTTTACAGAATGAAAATGATCAGATGTGTTTGTCATTTCTTTTTTGTTTTCAATTGACCACAAATCAGAAAACCACAGAAGACAGTAACTTTGAAACAAAATATGCATATTGGACGGGGGAGTGTTTATGCATGCATTTTGGTTTAGTTGGCACAAACCAAAATGACTGCAAAGTTTAGACTCTCTCTGTAAGTACGAAGGTTTACTTAATCATTTATATCTAAAGTCCGAACATCTCTTGAAATCTGGTTTACATGAACCTTGATGCTTTGGCTATTAAAAATGGATGGTTACTTGTGATGTTTTATTACGGGAAACACTCTTTTTATGGTTTCCTAACAAATGGGCCTTTGGTTTAATGATACACCTTGCCTTGTGAAGGCTTTGCCTTCTTGAGGTCAAGGGTTCAAGCGTCCCCCCCCCCAAAAAAAAAAAAACACACACACACACCCCCAAAAAAAAAATGGTTCCCTAATTTTCCTGTATTAGGATTTATTGCAAACGTTTGTATCTTTTGGTTTGTGTCATACGTTTTGCTTGACAAGACTGGCTATTTTTGTATCTTTCAAGGCTTTTGGTTACTTCTTCATGTGCGGTTGATTGAGAGACTGAAATAGAATGTTTTTATGAGCACAGTAGCTGTTGAATAGGACAATGACGGGATGCTTCAATTGCAAGAATTGTTGGTGTTTAGTGTATTCAGTTGGAAAATTCTAGTTGGCATACATGATATATTTGTCAACAAGTTATCTGAAAGTACACTGGTTGCCTTCCCCCCCCCAATAGGCCAAGCTTTTGTTTTCTTTCTTCGTTTACATTTCATCATTGATGCCTCTACTACAACTTGCTGTTCTTGCAGGGACATTCTGTTGTTCTAGTGGATGAGGAGGAACCTCAGCTTGTTGGAACAACAGAGCAAGCAGACAGAATAGATGAATGGTATCTTGAAATTTTTTGTTCTGTTTTTTTTTTTTTGGGCTTAATATTTGAACAAAATGATATGTTGGGATTAGCAATTGTTTGATTCCTGCTGCTTATTTTTTCAGCATGAAAGAGACTAAGATCTACTATCCATCAAGGTACACCATAGTCTTTACCTTAAATGTGATGCATATTGCAACTTTGTTCAACAACAAATTTGCCAAGGTATAATACACACGTTTTAAGGTCTTCTCCCTCTTATCTGTCCACACAGGGATGACCCAGAATCAGTTGAAATTGTTTACTCAGACATGGACTGCCTTGCTCCTGAAGCTTATCTCTCATCGACCATTATGAACTTTTACATCCGGTAAGTTTATAATAATATTTTGAAGAGGCTTTGGTGCACCCTCCCTCTTCTGTGCATTTTTTTGCTGTCTCCTTCCTTCTTTCTCTTTGCATATTTTCCTACAGCTTATTAACCTTCTAGCTCTGGTAGAGGTGCCCGATCCATTTATTATATATACATGCCAGGTTGTATTGTATTCTTGGTGCAAGCTGGAGACTGATGAGGTTGTCATTTTTAACAAGTTGTGAATTTCCTGTGGCTAGATATCTGCAGCAGCCAACATCTCCCACAAATAGGACAGGATGTGATTATCATTGTTTTAATACTTATTTCTACAAGAAGCTGAAAGAGGCTGTAATGAAGAAGGTATCTCTTTTTCCCTTTGGTATTTTTCCCTTGTTTTTTTCCCAATCTCCCATAAACAAAATTCTGGTTCCAGCTTTGGCACTTCTTTAGGTTGTAGCTTCTGGTGCTTTAAACCCACTTGTTGAGTATGTATCCTGAAGCCGGTAACCTAGGTACTGGTATTTTAAAATTGTTAGCACTCATTGTTTTGGAAGTTACTTCTTTTTTTGTTTGATAAGGGGTTTTTGAAAGTTACTTATCAACCGTGAAAATAAGGGAACAGTACCTTTTTTAGATAAGGAACCTTGGTGCTATTTGGTCCAAAAGCTTTCCCTCCATGAGTCCCCAAGGCATAAGAACCATTAGTACATAGACATAAGCAATACCTGAAGCTTTAATTTATTCGAGCATTGTGGTAGATTTTTTTGGCTTCATTTCTTAAATGTCTCCACTTATCTGTGAAAGATATGAGGTGTAAAGAGATATTTTTCCCCTTTTCATACGCTAATGGAAGACAGATAAATTTTACCTAACCTTTGCATAATAATATCCATCAACATTCAGTGGAACCTTGTGAAAATAACTTTCATTGTCTGAATGCTAGGCATTGTTTTGCATCTTACATCTGCTCTGCTGTTATTGATAGCTTTTCGTATTTTTCTTAAATGACTTGCAGCCGAGTGACAATGAAAATACATTTGAAAAGTTCAGAAGGTGGTGGAAAGGTGTCAATATATTTGAGAAAACTTATTTACTCCTTCCAATACATGATAAGTAAGCATTTTTAAGTTAATTTTAAAGGTTTTATGATTGTCTGCACGTATAGAGCGACATGCATGAATGTTTATTTCTGCCCATATATAGAGGATCCATATGAAGGAAATGATTTACATCATAACCTTTAAGGAATTACTTCCTGCATTGAATGAACTTTTATTATACTTTCCTTGAAGAAAGAAGGTATGACTTGAAATTTTTAAGTTTCAGAAAATTTCCTGTTTTTCCCCCACCAAATGGGAAAATATAATTTTCTAGTGGCTTCAGCAATTTTTTGTTTTCTGCACCCTCCAAAGGCGAAAATTAGATTTCTTGATGGCATCAAATTTGGTTACATATAAAGAAAATCTGGAAGTGTAGAGTGTACCCAAGAAGGACAGTCTTCTATTCAAGCTCCTCTGGGCGGCCGTTCTTGATAAGTGGTTGAGCAGTTTTATTTCTTCTAATACCCAGGTTCCTAATCTTCAAGATAAAAACCTCACTTGCAGTCTACAGGTTTGGGTAGCGGGTTTGGAAAGCATTGTTGTTTTAGGCTTTTAGCTTGGTGTCGGGTACCTTGGGACAACTATAGTGGACAGCCTCAGTTTGTTTATTATAATTATGTATCAAAAGGAAGAAGAATTTGTGCCACAAAGTGTTGTAAATAATGGTACATGTTGCCACTATCTTTCATTGTCTTACTGGAGACCAAGGGTCTTGTCCTTGGCACGAAACTAAGCTTGTCATTTAAATATAAGACAAATGGAAGTGATGGAATGGTCCGTAGTTATTACTCTTCCCTTTTGTATGGGAGTAGTACTTTGTGGTCCAGAATTTTATTTAGGACAGGCTGGGGCCAAATGCCCTTTTTCTGTTCCTATTGTCAATACTTCCTTGAGTGAGTTGCCTTTTATCATCTTTTCTTTATGTTTATCATGTGACTTGTGGAAGCTTGTTACTTTATGTTTTGCCTTGTATTTAATATGTTCACATGCTGCTCAAGTTACTGCAAAATTTTTATTCTCTTTTTCTTCCCCCTTCTATGCAGCCTTCATTGGAGCTTGGTGATAATATGCATCCCATACAAGGAAGAGGAAGCAGGGCCAATTGTACTTCATTTGGATTCACTAGGACTTCACTCTAGAAAATCAATTTTCGAGAACATTAAAAGGTGAGATGAAAGAAGGGCTTGCCAACCATATGACCTATAATTCAGGATAAACGATTGCAGTACTTCTGAGATTCAAGTTTTTAATCAGTGGTATTGGTACCAAATTTCAGCTATTTGGAGTCGTTTTCTTTTCTTTTATTTTTTTGAGGTTTTGTGCCTTTTTGCAAGCCCAAAAACAAGGATATAGAGAATAATCAGACAAGTGACAATTTTTCTGCAGACAGACGAAAACGGTGGCTGAAGCTTTCTATTGAGGGGATAGGACTATGTTTTCTTTCCAACTTCAAAAAATGGGATATGACATTGTTGATATGAACTCACATGTTTTTTTAGTGATCACATCCTTTAATGTCTTGTATTTGCTTCTCTAGAATTGAGGATGCATCTTGCTTGAACTTGTACCTTGTATTCTTATGGCATTTTGTACCTTTGTGACTACTGCTTTTGGTTTGAGACAGGCCATATGGTTATTGCATTTTACACCTTTGACATTTAACTAGAGTCGAATTGCCATGATTAACTTCACCAAGAACCCATCATGTACAATTGAATGAATTTAGGGGATTTGCTATACCACTCATTATCAAGGGATTTTAGTAAGTTTATTCCTCTTGTAATATACAAAATGGTGGGAATTATTTATCTTTTTTTGTTATGTAGCATTATGGGTATTTAGTTGTAATAGTCATATCCCATGACCAATTAATCTGCTGTTCCTTTTTTATTTATTAAGAACACTGATTTTTTGCTATAATAGCATCTTAACTAGGTCATCCTTTGACATATTGAATATTTAAGTTGTGCTTGTAGCTTTTTGAGAGAAGAATGGAACTATCTGAATAAAGAAGAAGCTCTTTCAGGTCTTCCTATTGCTGATAAGATCTGGAAAGATCTTCCACATAGAATCAATGAGAAGACAATTGAGGTAAATCTCTCTCTCTTGTGCCTCATTTGATATATAGGTTTTGCCTATGCATTCTTTTCTTCAAAGTATACCTCCAAACCATTAGTATGAGTTTTATGCTTGTTATGTGTATGCAACACTTAGCTCGTATGGTACAGGATTAATGTCATTAAAGAGAATCCAATATTGGAGACGCTGTGTCATTGGTATTTGCAAACCTATGTATCCGATATCTTGAAAGCACTTGCGAACAATCAAATCTCTTTCTAAACATCTTAACTCATATGTAACTGAGTTAGTGCTATAGACTTGTGTGCAATGCCTTATTTTTACACGACATAGAAGTAATCTGTTAAGGCTTGCAAGAGTAGCTTCCTGCAACATTTTGGTGGGGAATAGGCTGAGGTTTTCCAAAAATCCAGGAAAAATGAGTTATGGTAGATTTCAGATTTTGCTGGGAAAAGTTTCTTTCTCCAACTATGATTTATGGGTTGCTGGCTGTGATTTTAAACTTTCCAGTTGCATTGTCTTCATTTTCCCCTACAGGTTCCACAGCAGAGAAATGAGTATGACTGTGGTGTGTTTGTTCTCTTCTACATGGAACGCTTCTTACAGGAGGCTCCTAAAAGGATGAAAAAGAATGATTTAGCAATGGTAGAGTCTTCCTGCTCCTTAGCATTTTTTAACACGTGTGATGTTGGTTGAGTGTAAGTGTGGTCATTATAGCTTATTCATGTGATCTTGCATTGGAGGGACTAATGATACGCACTGTGGCCTCTATATTACATTTATTCATAAAAATTTTCCATTTCATATGTAAAGGTGATATTTTCCTTGGTTGTATTTTAAATCTCAGTTTGGCAAGCATTGGTTTGGCCCTGAAGAACCCTCTCGTCTGAGAGGGACAATCTGGAGTTTACTCAGGGAGGAATTCAAGAATGCAATTGACAATATACGTGGTTTGAATCCTTAGCCTTGTTCTCGGGGCTCCTACTGGAAGCATATAGCACAAAATTATCAATATCCTCGTACTACAACAGTTACTCTGAAATTTTGAAGTCGGGTACCTGGGTGTTCTTATCTCTGTACAGCTCATATGGTTACCGTTGACAACAAAATACCTCATCTCACTGGTTTGATGTTCCAATGATTCAAATCTCACTGGTTTGATGTTCCAATGGTTAATCAGCAGTGGAACATATTTTGAAACTACCTTTGTACGGGATGGAGGTTGGTCCAAAGCCACCAGCGCAAGCTGGGACTGAACAAGAAGAGAAAAATAAAAAAATGAATAGAGATTCTTCCGGGACGTAAAGTACACTATAGAGGTCATCCAATCAATACTAGCCCTTTTGGCTGAGTTTTAGGATTTTAAAAGCCTTCTTGGTTGTATGGGAGGAAAATGGAGATATCAGCACTAGCTAACGTTCACCATTTAGCAATCAAGACCTCGGTTTCTATCTTTATTGTTTTTGCAGAAAGGAATAGAATGACACAGCGTTATGTGATTAATGGAAAGGGATTCTGGATTTATGATTTTTTGACTTGACGATGTCTACTCCTTTGAAATGTACTCCGTTTCTAAATAAAGATTACTGATTCCTTTTAGTCATTGAAATGATTCATGGGCTGAAATTGCATAATGAGTTTTCACCTGAATTTATAAGGCATATGGTAATCCAGTTTCACTGATCCGTGGTCGAGAATTGCAGTCTGTCTCCCCCAAAACCTGTGGTTGTTAAAGATTGTTTTGGTATGCTCTCCTCTGATAGTAGTCATCTTTGATTGTAAAGACTCGGATTATCTGATATTCATGCAGTGACCAAACTACCAGTAGCATGAAATCATAGCATATTTGGTATCCATTCATGATGATATTGTAGTATAAACATGATGGAAGTGATGAAGATTTTAATTTACAAGCCAAGGTAAAAGATTGTTGAAGACTTTTCCCTAGCATATTTCCATCCTCTTCGCCATCACTCTTAGAGCTAGACCCTATAGTTAATATATACAACTTGAATTTCTTGTGCTATTCATATCCAAGTATGCTGTACAATTTGAACTTCTGTGCTAGAGATTCCCATGTCTTTTGCTCTGAACGACAATGTACAAAATTAAGACCCTTGATGTCTGAAGAAGCAGAGACAACCCCGAGGCTGATCACTAGGGATCATACCTCCACCATTGGATGTCTCAATGGTTTCTAGCATGTGTACTACGTCTTCCATCTCCGGTCTCTTCTTGGGGTCTGCGTCCCAGCATTGCTTCATCACTTTAGCCAAAGAGCTTGGACAACACCTGGGTATCTCCGGCCTCAGATTCTGCAGTTCCATGTGTAAGTCCTGTTAGTTCTATGCAATTACTGATTTTTATAGATGATATTGACTATCTTAGCTCCAAAAATGCTGCCACAAACTGAAGAGAAAAATAAGAGCAATTGGAGAAAATCATATACCTTAGAGATAACTGCTGAAAATTCTTCCAAAGACCGGAGGTCAGGATAGGGCATGTCACAGCAATATATTTCCCACAAACAGATCCCAAAACTGTAGACATCACACTTCCGGTTGTATAGATCACCATTAAGAACCTGCAACCATGCACAATTATACATGTGGAGTCGGGAAGTAATCGACCTAGTTATAATCTGGAGTTGGGAAGCGATAGAGATAGCACATTGAAATCAGAAGTATACATGGAACTAGCAGAGTTAGAGAAGATTTACTGAACTTGATTACAATACCTCCGGAGCCATGTAACCCAAAGTCCCAGTTTGGCCTGTCATCTCATCAGGATTCAAAGGCTCGACTCGGGCAACTCCAAAGTCAGATATCTTTACTGTAAGCTTCTTGTCAAGAAGAATGTTCTCTGTCTTTATATCTCTGTGAACAATCTTCTGGGAATGAAGGTAACTCAATCTACAAGTGACAAGAAAGAAGAGTGTCACTTAATGCCAACTTGTCAAGCTCCGGAAACGCGACTCCATGGAATTACAGGTAAGAGCAATGCAGAGATGAAAGTAATTTGCTAGATTCATTTTTAGATAGGCTTGGACATGGATAGAGTTTCTTACCCTCTTGCCAAATCTAGTGCTAGTTGAATGACTACTTTGAAAGAGAGCTTCCTTATTCGGTTCTTTATCAGGTAAGATTTTAGAGTGCCTCCAAGAAGATATTCAACCACAATGCAACAAACATTGCTTGGCATCCTAATTTCTCCACTATCACCCTTGAGGTTCAGTCGTGAAGTTGCTCCAAAAAACTGTGAAAAGGGATTGAAATATATTAGGTCATGCATCCCGGCAAAGGTTTAGAAAAAAAGAGAGAGAAAACAGCTAAGTCCTCAAATTGAACAAGTATTAGGTTCATTAACAATCTTGGACCCATTTAGAGTTGATTTTTTTGGGACGTTGAGGTTTCCTAATGGGGGCCCAGTTATCATTATTCACTCATGGAAAGAACTTAAAAGTTGTACTGACCTCGGGTTTTTGTTTTAATACAAGGAGGGATGGCTCAAGCCCATATTAAACTCATGGAATGTCACAAAGGGCACCTTGGCTGTAATGAAGGGTTAAACTTCGAAGGGTAAGTCAAGTCATAATGGAGATGAATTATAAATTTAGATATTTTGAGTTTAAATTTTGATAATTTTTTGAAATTATATTATTAGAAATTTATTCATTCTGAATATTTTAGTCTCGATGTGGGTGACTTGTAGGGGCGGAGCCAAAAATGTATACTGGGTACACTTAACCAACAAAATTTAATTTTTTTCTCCGATCAATAAAAGTATTGTGGTATATGTTTTTTTTTATATTGTGTTGCATATTTAAAGATTTTTTAAATACAAAAGTGTCAAACACCAATATATGTAGTCTGTGCAAGTAATACTCAATAAAAAGAGGCTAATTACAATCCTTTACAAAAAATGAGGCTAATTACAACCATGTACAATGGATCCTGACAACTGATAACATTATTAATAATGTTATCAAAAATTTCTTTCTCTATATAAGTAATTAAGTTAATAGTAATCAATTTCAAGCTAAGTTTGCATTAATTTAAAAAAATTATAGTAATTTCAAAAAATTATGAGTAATATAAGATTGAGGGTTATCAAAAAAAAAAAAAAGGTTCAATCACTAGTCGCAATTTTTTATCATATTTTCACATTTCTTTGAGTGAAAAATGTATTCGATTATTTTTTCTGCACAAGATTTAGTTAGTTCAAACTTATTAGAGTGGGTTCAATATTTTTAGTTTTTGTTCATGAGCGTGGGCCTAATTCCAACTACCCAATAAAACATCATGAATATTACAAAGGTAAAAATTTTAATTTTTCTTGCCTTTGAAAAAGTAATGAAGGGGTTACAATGGAAAGTCTTTTGTTTTTTTTTTGGAGCTGCTAATTATTAACTTTTGGGATTAAGGTATAGTTTTCTAGGATTAAATTATAACTTGTTGGAGTGTTTAAGATTGATCATAATATTTCAAGATTGATCCTAAATATTAGGAGGAGGGTTTTACCTTGGTGACATTAGGATGATCGAGCTTGTTCCAAACAGACACTTCATGTATGAAAGCTTTCCTCAATGAAGCAACTTGAGCTTCGGTTCCAGAGTCCTCCATCCCCAATTCAAGCATTTTAACTGACAATTAATTAGCAGAAAATAAGAAAAAAAATAATTCCCATTGCATGCCAGCAAAATCTATATCCAATGTAGCATTAAATTTTTACTTTTTTATGTAATTAGATATAACAAAATAAAATTTAATCAAAAAAAATTGTATTTGTTTTATTTCACAAACATAATGTATATTAATCTTAGTATGTAAATATAAGTATAACTATACATTCGATCAAGTTTGAAGAAAAGAAATAAACTTGAACAAGGGAAAAAATAAACAAAAATCAAATTAGAAAAATATTTAAAAAATTTAAAAAAAAAAAGAAAAGAAAAGTACTTGAAAGCATATCTTAAAAATAATTTTCAATTTAGTTACCCAAAAAAAAAAAATTCCCATAAGACGAAGCCAGAATAATGACAAAGAAGCATACATTATATATGTGAGAGAGAGAGAGAGAGAGAGAGAGAGAGAGAGAGAGAGAGAGAGAGAGAGATGTGCATGCATGTTACCTGCAACCCCTTTGCCATCGTAAACTCCTCTACGGACAACACAGAAGGTACCTCGACCTATAACGTCCTTCACAACCAGTTTACTGACATCTATTTCCCATTCTTCCTCAGGTGAAACCCTAACCCTAAATTCATCGCGACCTGTCTCCGTTTGCTTGTTGCGCACACGATACACATACCTCTCCAGTTGCTCATCAAGTTTCTTCAGATCAACCATGTCTGCCCTAATCATCTTCTTCTCCATCTTCAAGTTTGGAAGAGAATAACAACTTGGTTTTCTGTTAACGTGAAGAGAAAGTTAATTCTTTCTCTAATGTGAGTTTGTACGTAAACTCTTTTTTTCTGTCTCAGAAGCTCTCTCTCTCTCTCTCTCTCTCTCTATATATATATATATATATATACACACACACACAGAGTTCTAGTGTTTGTATCCAACTGGTATGGTATAATTTTACACGTAAATCTATATTAGAGATATTGAATAACACAAAACGTGTGTACATGGTAATTATCATTATTTGTTTAGAGGATAAATGACACTTTGTGCGTCAATTTTTTTTTTTAATATTTTTTATTTACATCCTGAACGTTTGGAGTTTTTATATTATCCAAACAAATCTATTTTAAGAAATTTGAATACAAAATTTTCATTAAAAATATTTAAATCGAGTATTATGCAATAATTATGTATAGAAATAGAATAATAATTTATTTTTTGAATATTATTTGTTATCTTTTTATCTGATTGAAAGTATAATGTGAAAATTTTAATTAATCTTTTAGGGTGTAAACTAAAAATTTTAAAATATTTTAGGTTATAAAGTGTCATTCAACCTTGTTTATATTTATCTTTTGTTCTGATTTTATTTGATAAGTGTCTTAATAAGTAATTACTACTTTATATGGGTAGTTTGTTAAATTTTTTTTTTTTTTTTTTGCGTAGCATCCGTGCATGTGTTTGGATTACTTTTGGGATTTCAAGAGATATTTATGAAAGATTTTTATTTCTTTCTGAACTGTGTGAAGGATATATTAAGTAATAATTAATTTTTCTTAATGTTGGGAAATAGAAATTTAAAGGAAAATATTTCACGTGTAATGGATATTCACGGGGATATGGATAATTATTGATTTGTTGTCTTAAGACCAAATATATATTTTTTAGATTTGTGTACAACATTTATAATTATAATATAAAACATGACGTACTTCAATAAATTTATTTGACGGTTTCAAATACACTTATCCAACGGCTGCCAACATCTGTCACTTTTCACTTATGTTGTACCATGAATTTAGGCCCGAGTTACCTTACTATACTATATGTTAAAAAAATTGTCTGATATATACTGTAGAAATTTCAAATTTGAGGAAAATATTTGACTGACCATTACGAGAAAAATATAAAATGAAAATATACATAGTTAATTTTTTTTTCAAATTTAAAAATAGATATCATGATATGCACAAGCAGAATATACTTATTAATTAATAGACCAAGATTCTATATTTTTTCAAAAAATTTAAACAATAAATTCAATTTTAAAGTCAGATTGGGGGTGAGGGTGACTAATACATATCTATCTAATCCTTTTAACAAAGGGAGGAGGGTTTAGTGTCTATTTCACATAACATGCTTATAAAAATATGAAAAATATTATTTAGACGTAATTTAAGAATTAAAATTATGTGTTTATCTCTCTTGATTTCTTCTCATTTTTATATCCTTGCCTTCTTTTTATCTCACCTTTTCATCATGTACAGAGATAATGACGTGCAATGATGAGACATGAATCCATGTTCCTTCTAAGTAACACATATACATGGACCCAAAAAAGGTTCTGTCCAGAATATTCGATCTCTCAAGGAGACTCGACCGATCTCCAAATTCTCTTGGTGCTCACAGAACTCCTGGGACGACGCTTGGCTCCAAACCCGAGCAATAGTAACAATTAGATATAAGGGTTCATGGATGCAACGGATAATAAAGAATGATTAGTTATGTCATCACATCTTTTACTAAATTATAAAAAAATCAATTAAAAATATGACCTCTATCGATATGAATTGATTGACATGACTCATTAAATACGTGATAATGCTCATTAAATGTCCGGCCTCCTAAACATGATAATCATTACGGTGTTCTAACTAAACTCGAGGTAGAAAATAACTTTTGACACTCATTATGGTGCTTATTGAATGTTGACCTCGGGTAATTGCTGGCCTCCCTTGGGCCTGTCAAATGTGCGACTGGAGTTACTCTCACAACAGTTTCACTAATTGATTTGATATGACTCTATGAAATTTTATATAAAATTGACTCTCAAGTACGCATTCACGACTCAATTTACCATACCTACTATACTCTTAGCTTGAACTCGAACCGACTTAGGTGTTGAAGATGATACGTCGGATACATGTCCAGTCCCCTTCTAACCAGGTTCGTTGTTTCAAAAATTTCTTCCCAATTCAACTAACCAGGTATCTCAAGTATTGCGCAAAATTCACCCTGCAGGACCTTCTAGTCTATGATTAAATGTGTGTCGGCGCAAGGGACACGAAGTGAGAATGGATTAGCTGTACTATCTTGAACCCACCACTGTTCTAACGTCATTTTTATAACCTCTCCGCCACAAAAGCCTTGCGAATCAGTTTAAAGCATCATGTGAATCAAACTAATCAAATTGTTATCAAAAGCTGCAAATACGAAATGTTAATGATAAGCTCAAAACTAATAAAAACCAATTAATGGGAATTTTGAGAGTAAAACCTCGAAAAATTCAACTTAGAATCATCATTTGTCAAGTTAATAATATAATCTCAGGCTAAGTAATGGAATTATCTTTCAGTGCTAAGTCACGATTGAAAAAATCTGGAATAGGCTAAACATCTAGCAATAGCAAATTCACTTGTACCACCATGGCACAATCCAATTTAACTCTGCCAGGGATTCCCCCAACTTCAATTATATTCCGGCATGAACAGCTCTGCTAATAAGCAAGCTTGTCCAGTGTCACAAAAAGAGTTAAAAAGAAGAAAAATTAAAGCCCAACAAAAGCTCCAAAGAACCATATATACATATTTGGCCAGAAAAGCTCTTAATTTACAAACATGGAAAGGGGAGAATACAGCAATACAGACTTGAGCTTAGTATTGCGACTAAGTTGCATGGATAAGGTCACATTTTGTGTTCTTTCTCCAATTGGCTACACTGATAATTGGCCAAACGAAGGTCATAAAGTTGGACAAGTCAACCTTGCTTGGTCTATGACTGATGTTTCTAAAAAGAAAGGAACCTTAATTTCCACCATTCTTGAAACCACCAACAGTATGTAATTTGCCAGATGTAGTCCTCGTTCCAAATGTGCACAGTGCAATGAGCTAAGGCGGCTAGTCCCTGCAGGCCAGAGATTAAACAAATTAGCCTTCAGAAGATGTGCACTATTGTTGGGTTTCAACTTCATGCTAACATTATACATGGTTACCCATACGAGTGTGGAAGAATGTGTGTGTGAGTGAGAGAGAGAGAGAGAGAAAAAAAGGGGGGGGGGGAATTCATATTCCACATTTAGTATAAGGATCAAGTCAATAGCACATATCCATACCTAATTATTGAATAGAAAGAAAAAGAAGAAAAACATCAATTCCAGGGAGATCACATGTTCCATCCAACTACTGGAGGAAATTGATGCACAAAATCATACAGACATTTTCAGAATTGCATATGCCCAGGCCGTAGATGGACCACTGAGAAGTATATTTTATAATTATGCATCCTTGATGCTTTTTTATAATAAGTTTCTTCGACAAGATTTATAGTAGTATACATTTTATTAGATTAGTGCGTTTATATTATAGTTGGTACATTTGATTTAGCAGCTGTATATGAGCTTTAGTTTACTGCGTTTATTTCATAGTTGGTTACCCAAAATATTGTCCACCTTGTTTCCGGGGTTTCAAGCAAAGTCATCAGCATTGGCTCTGCTTTGAAGTGGTGAACAAATGAACTAATTAAGCCTGAAATGCATCTTCACTGGAGTGTGCATGTTAAGAGCCTATGTCTGACTGCTGAGCATTTCTTTCCTATTATATGTTACTCTTCTTTAGGCATGATCACCAAACATCTTTTCAATACTCCTATCTTCTCTCCCTTCCTCAACTTTCCAGTCTGCCAAGGAATTGGGCCAATAACATTTTCATGCTAAGAACAATAGATCATAGGCTACCTTTTGATTCATAACAATGATGACATATAATGTACAATTTTCTCAATAATATTTTTCTAAAATTGAGCAGAGGAATAAAACATTATCTATTTGTAAAATAAACCAAACAGATAATCATTATTAGAGATATCTTGCAATATATTTGTTCTAGAAGCAGAACCGGGAACAAAGCCATTGTGCACCTGCGTATCTATTCAAAATTCATATTCAAAAAAAGGTTGAATTGTGTAATTTGAGTTTCCTTCAAAGTTTTATACATTTTGGAAAAGTCGTAAAAGTCAATGAATCAATAGTTTCCTAATCTAAGCATGCATACTCCCAGTAGAACAAGGAAAATACAGCAACCTAGAAAATCAAGATAATCTATCAATTCAACATGATGAAAATGAGTTGAGTTTTGAGACTTGGTTGCGATGCTTTCATATCTTAGTTCAATACATTGAGCAACCTTACCTTGAGGGTGATCCTAAGAGCACAAAACTCACATAAAACAAAGCATTCTGTTCCAGGGTTTCAGTTCAAAGTCCTAGAACAACCAAACATTTTGAGCAGAACTTCACCCTATCTATCCCAAACCAATAGTAATCTACTACCCCATTGGCCATTACACTAACACCAAAAACCTTGGATTACTTGCTATCCAAAGAAGTTTTTGCATATTCCTCATAAAATTCTGCACTTCAATTACTTAAAAGTTAAAACATCAAGCCAGCAATCTTCTTCCTTCACTAATCCCTAAAACCATCTCTCTACAATCCGAACTCTACAGGCATTCAACGACCCAATATCGAGCATGAATCAAATTTCAGGTGGCATGACACTAGTTTTCTTAAAGCCATCCCACATCATCAATGCCTCCACTAACTCCTAAATACAGGAAACAGGATACTGTTAACTTGATATTGAGTACCGCCTACACACATTTCACAATGTAAATTAAAACCAGCATCCCAATATAAGCATCTCTTTGCACCAGTCTCCTGTCAACATGACATAAAACTAGTCACCAAATATGATCACTTTTTGACTCCCACAACAATACAGTTATTGGATGAATCAACCATATATTGTTAAATTACAACCACCAGTCAGAAATATTTAGGTACAGAAAGAGACAGATACATAAGCACCACAATGGCCAAAGAAAGACGGTACCATAATCTTAATGCAACCTAATCCCCCTTTTTTAGTACGTTTGGTTCAAGGCTTTTGACTATTCTTAAGTTCAGTCCAAATGCACAACATTATGCAAAGGGCGCCTGCCTGCCAAGTATTCCTCTTAACTCTATCTAAAATCCCCTTTACTCCTATTGCAACAGTCAAGCCTCATAATATACCTGGGATGTGTTGCAGAACTCCAGTAATAGAGAGAAAAAAGGCCACAAAGCCCCTTCGAAACCTTATAGTAAAGCAATAAATAGTTCACATTTTTAAGATCAACACCACCAAATCCAAACTCAAGCTAGTGATCGAGTTCAATTATTTCAGCTTGCATGTCTTTACCCAAAAAGAAATCCTTATTACATTTACTCATACCACCAATCCGCATTTCACCAAATATAAAAAAAAAAAAATTCACCAATTTGATACGCATGCAGCCTATGGCAATCAGTATTTTACTCTAATACAATAATACATGACAATGCAATACAGAAAAGTCATCGACATATACATGCATACACACTGTTCTATGTCGAGTAAAGTGTCAGATTCTTACCAGTACTTGATTAAGCCATCCCATCCACATGTAGCAACTTTACTTTGTTCCAATGGATGCCACTCACAACCAATGCACACTCCCTCATGACACTTGAGTGTTCTAAACACTTTGCAACTCTTCCAGTCCCAAAACCACATTTTGCCCTCCCCATCTCCCGACATGACAAACCTTCCATCCGGTGAGAAGTGAACCTGACAAGCATACCCAGTTGCTATGTGACCTGCAAATCTCTTCTTCTTATTAAGCTGAAATCTCTCCCTAGTACTATAGATAAGAATCTGGTTGTCCAAACTCTGTGCCGCAAGCCAATTCGTATTTGGTTGAAGAGAAATTGAGGGCATAGAATGCATGTGAGGTTCACTTATATACTTTATAACCACTGGAATTCCATATTCCCAAACCTGCAAGGATTTATCATCACTAGAAGTAACAAATCTCCTATTGTCGTCCACAAATGTGATAGTATTCACTGCTCCCAAATGCTGATCATACTCTTGAGTAATCTGCCCCGAATTCATATCCCACTGGACAATCTTCGTATCACTCATGCCAGCCAAAAGTACATTCTGTTTATCTTCATCCGGATTAAGCCTAACAACATATGGTATCTTCCCTGTTGAGAATGTCGATATCACCTGCCCAGTCTCCGTATCCCAGCACTTAATATTCTTATCATACCCGGCAGTAAAAAACTTAGTCCCATCGTTACAAAACCAAATATCTCTTACTGCCTTGGAATGACCCATGTAAGTCCTCATACACTTCCCCGAATTGAACACATCCCAAATCTTCACCTTTGTATCCATCCCTGCAGACAAGATCAAATGACCAAACTTCGGAAAAAACCTAATAGCAGACACACCCTTAGTGTGCCCGGACCACGTGTGAACCAATCTTTTTGGTATGAAACAATGATCATTCGTCGCCTTCGCATCCTTTGGCAGTGCAATCCATGACCTACCCTGGTAATCTCTCTCCTCCTTGCCGTGAAACGTACTCTTATCTTGCACAATTTCGCCTTTTTCTCTATCCCCACCTCTCTCTTCACCCTTCTTCTTTGCATATTCCTCGGCATACTTCTTCTGCTCCTCTGTCAATTCTGTTTGCAACCCTTCTTTCTTTCCAGCCCAAGGACTCTTCCAATTTTTCAACAACCACGCGTCCGAAGCTGGGTTATCAACCTCCGTGGGGTCCACGTGATCATCATCTTCCCCATTCTCTTCGCTCTCCAATTTTTCCTTCTTCTTCTCAAGCTTCCTCTTCTTCTGTTCGTGTTGGGGTATGTTATACACCGAGATACAGTCTTTCTGCTGATAGGCTTTCAAATCTCCGACGTACTGATTCTCCGATGGGTCGGCGGCGTAACCATACTTGTAGAATGTGTTGTACTGTTCATCGAAAACGAAGGATTCAATGGAGGCGTTCTCGACGAACCCTAGCTTGTGGTTTCGCATGCCTTAGGCAAGACCGTCCTTGGCGTAGGGATGACCTGGACCGTAGATGGGGGCCCAGAGCTGGTCGTAGGTTGGGTTGAAGTTGACGACATGTTGGGTTGGGTTAATGGGTTTGGAATGGGCTCGGTTGTGGTCGCCGGCGACTGTGAGAGCGAGCATTGTGTCATCGACTTTGGGGGTGGCAGATTTGGTGGGGAGAGAAAGCCGAACAGGCGAGGAATCGGGTGAGGACTGATCGGAAACTGTGGAATTAGGGTTTCCATCCAATGATTCTTGCAATTGCTCATCATCATCGATGTCGGCGTCTTCGTAGGACTGTAGGAGATCCATGGAAGCTACGAATTTGAACACACACACAGAGACACAGATGGGAAGGGGGAGAGAGAACGGAGAAACCCTAGGTTTGAATTGTATGTGGATGATTGAAGGCTCGTGAGGGTTAAGTTCTGACTTGTGTCCAAACAGGTTAGTTCTTAGTCGCTTAAATAGGCGGAGATTGTATTTCAGGTGCTGAAGCGACCACCGAGAGAGTCAATAGATTTATAGCATGTTAGAATAAGATCAACTCCACTTATTCTAAGAGTAGTCTATGTAGGGACGACGGTGGACCGAAGTAGGGGGAGAAAGTATAATTTTTATTCTTATACCCGTTTAAAAAAATTTTTGTCCATGCTCATTAACGGGTATAATTTTTATCCTTATTTTCGTCTGCGAGTAAATTTCTAACTCCCGTCCCTGTCCCCATTTCTCCCGTACCCGCTTAAACCCAAGTCCAAGTAATATAATCTAAAATTTTAAATAAATATAATATTTTAAATAATTCAATAGCATTCTAAATAATCTAACACAATATAATGTATATTATAAAATGTAAAAGTCAAAATAATATAATATTTTATTTAAAGTTTCATTGGACCACAAAAAGAGAAATGAAACTATTAAAAAGAAAGGAAGAAAAAAAAATTAAAATTGAATTAAAAAAACAATAGCATAACTCTTGAAGTTTCCTAGAAGAATTTTTATTATTACAATTCATATTACAACCATAAAGCGTTAAAAGATAAAAAATTAAAATTTTGCTAATTCAATAATTCTATCAACGATAAAATGCAAAACTATCTTACTCTCTCTTTTATGTTTTTAGAGCATGATCAAACCAAACTCCTAATAGTTTCAATCAGTGAGTACACATAGAAAAAAGAACAATTAGGAAAAAAAATTGATAAGATTACCACATAGCAATGTCACTTATTAATTTGATTACCATATTTCTAGATTGATAGTTACAGTAAAGATGTTTAGTTAGGTCTTTTGAGTATATATATATATATATATATATATATATAGATATAGATATAGATATTTAACGGGTAGCGGGGGAGGGGGTAAAGGTAAGTCCATCTCCGTCTTTATCCCGTACGCATTTATACGGATATTTTCGTATACGTCTACCGTCTAATATGTATAGTTTATCCCTAGTCTAAACGGGATAAATTTGGACGAATACCTGTTTTTTTCCGGTCCACTGCCATCCCTAAGCCTATGGTACCAAAAAAAAATAAAAATCTTACCATTATTTATTATTTTTATATGTATTTTTATAATTTTTATGGATGTTAGGGTCGATTACAAATACCAAAAAAATAGTAAAGACAATCATCACAAAAGTAGTATAAATATCCAAAAAAATTGTAAAAATACCCACAAAAATTATAAATCACTTACAAAAGTTATAAATTTTTTTTTGTTATAAAATGACCATAAAAATTATAAAAATACCCATTAAGACACGAGCTTGCATGCCATCTGACTAAGACATAAGTCCAAGAAAGTAATTCTGAGTTGTTTGTTACTAGTCGAATTGATCCCAACTATTGATCATCAGTAAGGACTCACTTAAATTGAAAATTGTTGTTTACATTGGAAGATATGATCTGTCCTAGAGGACATTCCATTCAAACCATTTGGTGGCCGAGTTGGTATGACTCAGGAAGCACTCTTCAGAACAAAGCAAGTTGCAAATCAGTTCCTAGTCTTATAGGTTGTAATATTTTTCTCTGAAACCACATTTGTTACTCAAAAGCAAAGTATATGAAATCAAGAATACTAGTTTGGTTAGGATCCCTTCGATAACTTATTTTGTTTGGTTTTGTGACTTCAAACCCGGCTATGCCACTGTTCATGCACTGGCTCGCAGCTTGGGGTTGTGGTGTTCAAGTGGTCCTCTGCTATATAATTGCTATTAGCAACCTTCCTGAATAAAAGTGGTGATCTGTAATGAGGTTTTTTGAGTAGTTCTTTTTCTTCTTCCCGGAAAGTAGGTATTTTGATTATTTATTCTTGATTGCCCAACTATGTGAAGGGTTTTTGAGCATTTGTGTAGCTTGGAATTTGACATGAATTTCTCTATGACATTGTGTTAAAGTTCCTTACTATATCGAGGCAACATCACGGGCTCAAATGCCATGAGTATCACAACCGGACCACCTCCCAAATCTTGAGGTGGTATGCAATTTGGCCATTTTAGATGCTGGAAGACTTCTATGTTACCTCAAAGAATTTTGCTCTTAACCACCAACCGTTGGATATGAAGGTTTGGGAAGCATACTCAATGCTGAGATCTTCCATACACCAACTAATACTTCCTACAACATTATACAGTGCAAGGTAATGCTTGGTTTTATACTACAGTGGTGGATGTTCTCGTCTTCAATTTGCTTCTCTTTATATTTGGGTCCATACTAAGGAGCCATAGGGCTTGTGGAAGGCGGCCAATGCTCGTAGTTGGCTATAGTTAAATGTGGTTATGTAGAATGGGTCCCCTTTATATTGAGGTTACTTTTCAAATTAGTATAAACTAATGCAGGTGAAAATCAAGTAGGTTGGTAGCGGATTGTGTGGAATCATCCCTTAGCGGTCTCTTCCACCGCACTAGTTCATAGATACAATGAAGGCTGTGATTCAAAGCATAAGATCAACTTCAACTGACATGAATTCTGTTTGGGTGTAATAAGATTGTTCATATAAAAACTTGTACAAGCACAAGATGTCTGAAACAAGAATCATGATTCCACACACAAAAAAGATATAAACGTGCCACCAATATTTTACAACTAATCAATAAAATTTGATACAATCAAACTTCAGTACTATGCTGTCTCAATTCAAGGATTCTTCATCTTAATTCTTAACTTTCTGGCTACCTGTGCTGCTTTGAGATGTACCGGTCGCTTACTGGAATCACACTGTTCCACCTCCACCCAATTGATAACCTTCAATATGAGTGATTGAGGAACTTTTCGAGCATCTGATTCTACTATCCCTTTCGATTTCTTCAGACCTGTTTCCAAAGCTTTCTCCAGAAAGTCCATGAACCAGTTTCCAGCTTCAGTTTCGATCTGCTTGCCCAATAAGATTGTGTTGCTTAGGCTGCAGGAAGAAGCTGGTTTCTTGTTTTCATCATTATCAAATGTAGACTCTGCAAGCAATTTTCCGAGTGGGGTTGAGCCTCCTTTCCTCTCTGAAGATGCCTTCTGAATATGATTTGATGATCTCAAATGCTTCCCCAAAATTGACCCATGATCATTTCTTTCAGGAATGGCTGCAATTGATTTGTACAGTGCAGTTCTTCTCTTGGATGCGGCATTGGAGTCTGAGTTTCGGTTTTGGTCCATCGAATTATGGGCAATTTCATGTAAGATGGGCGTATCTTCTTCAGGCCGTTTTTTCATGGTTTCTATTGGTGTCTGAGCCATTTCACTAGCTGCAGTTGCTGCTTGAATGGACACCATTTCGGATACTGCTTGCACAATTTGACTATGAAACTCAAGAAATTGATCAAAACAGGTTGCTGGAGCATCTGCTTTAGCTGATTTGCTCAAGTTTGAGAAAATCCTGCAAGTAATCAAATTATCCCCTTAGCTTTTGATTCTACACAACTGAAAAATGGAATAAATGTCTGTAACAGTCTGATAAAGATGAAAGTGTATGGACAGGCTTTGTACTTCAGTGATCGAACAAGATTGTCAGTAGCTGAGGCATCTCTTAGTGCTTGAAGGGCAATTCTCTGTGCTGTTTCTCTCTGTTGCACAGCTTCCTAAAAGGAATTAGTAGCAATAAAGTCAGAAAACATCCTCAAAAGTAATCGAAGTGTTCAGAAGCAAAAAGAAAATTCACAAAAACCAAGAACTTCACCTTCCCCAGTATGCTAAGCTTTCGGGGTAAATTCATGAGCAGACTGGTGTCGTTGGAGGCTAATTCACCAGACTGAGATTGTGGTTGTGAAGTGATGTTTGAGTTTGTGTGGTTCTGTGCATCTCCACCAGCATTGAGAGCAGCTGCTAATCTGGCATTCCTTAAACTCGGGGGCGGAGTCGAACTTTTCTTCTCCTGCAGAGTAAGGAAACACTAAATTTTGGATGGAAAGACATTGATGGTCTGAAATGGAACAAAAGTAGAAACAAGAAGGATTTTTCATGGTTCGGCGCTAAGGTCTACATCCACAGACACAATACAGATACTCTGATTACATTGCTATGTTCTAAGACAACAAGAACTTCACCTTCCCCAGTATACATTACATATGGATGATCCCTTCAATGGTTGTTTTTCAGGATCACCCATATGTAATGGCTGATTTCATGCCTCAAATTAAAGCATGTACAAGGGATTTTATCCCAGTGGTAACAGCCTCTCTGCTTTGTAGGAGTAATGCTACGTATATCTAACCCTCCCCAAATTCTATAATGGCGGGAGTCTTGTGCACTAGTATGCCCTTTTTAATTTGTGATGTCAATTGCGGGATCTTCAATATCTTTAAGGAAAACTCTTAAGAAAATTAACTGGCAGAGCAGAAAATGGAAAAACAGAATGGGTCATCGGAGATTGCCTTCTTTACATATACCAACTAGAAAGAGGAAGAATGTACCTACAGCTAAGTTGAAGGGACTTCTGGGGATCCTAGCCTCTCTGTCACAGACGCTCTTGCTCCTTGGAAATTTTGTAATAGAGGGGGTAACACAACTTTTCCTCAACAATGCAGGGCTTTCCCCTTTCAAGTCCACCATTTTAGACAACAGAGCGCCACCAACCGAAGACCTAACTCCACTTGAACTTCCATCCTTCACCATTCTCCCTCTTATCATTGGTGACATTGGAAGATTACCCCCAATTCTAACCGAAGTAGGCCTCTGTTTTATTGGTGTACACTGATCAAAATCCAAAGGAACTGGCTTCAAGGCCATAGGCGAATCTGTTCCATTTTGCCCTGTTCCCCAAGAACCTCTTCTATGAGCAGAGTGTTTTGAATTGACTCTCTGCTCACTTTTCTCTCCCTTTTCTCTCAACCCCATTAGCGGTTCTGGCGTTCCGACTAATGGGTGTCTCCCAGGGAGTGGTTTCGCTCCCTTAACGACTGGAACAGGGGATCCAGGCTCCAATCTCTCGACGTATATGAACTGTCCCAGCTGCATTTTGTTGCTGAAAACAAGATCATCTTGTTCAAAAGGTAGACTAACATAGATCGAGTGAGAAGAATCAGACACCTTTATGTAGAATCCGTGCTTTGGCCATAGACTCTTTTCATCAAGATCTGCGGGGACAATGTCCGTCACTTGTAAAAGTGAGCTCCGATGCTCACTTGTCGGCTTCACCCCTGAATTCATCCCACTGAGAAGCTTCAATAGAATTCCAGGCGCTAACGTTCCCATTGTCTTTCAGGGGTTCGACTCAACACAACCACAAAAAAAATAACTCGAGAAAAGTACCAGTAACAGTAATGGTGAACCCTGTAGAAGTTCAAATCAAGATACAATGAAAAATCAGAAGAACCCACCACAGAGAAAAGCTAATGGCTTCTGAATTTCAAGTGCAAGAAACCAAAAGGTCAAGAACGATGAGAAAGAGATACAAACAACCCAGAGTAAATCCAATTGCTCTTGCAATTTAAATCAAAACATAACTAGAAAAAACAGAGAGGAAGCTGAAAAATAGATCATCTGAGAAGAAATTTAAATTTTCAGGTCTCAAATTTCAGCGCAATTTTCATGCCTAGAAGAAAGGTTTGAATGTGGCTTGAAGATACGGTAATGGGAGGTGACAATATTGGGAAGAAGAAGGGTTCTCTGTGTTCTGAGGTGGGTTGGAGTAACGGTAAGAAAGGGACAAGTTTTTAAAATGTGTGGAGTTTTTTTGGAACGTTGGGGGCAACGGTCATATGTCGCTGGTGTGTGACGTTATTATGATCTCGAATTAGGCGGAGTGAATGAATATGCCGGTTGTTAATACGACGTCGTTCAATTTGTTTTGCTTGTGATTTAATTAAGGATTTCTAATTTTTTTTTGGTAACAAAATGAGAAGAAAAATACCACGATGACATATTTTCCTCTGTAAAGATTAAGACAGCGATCCATCAACCATTAACCCGCCCTTCTCAATCTTTTACCCAATAATCAAAATTTTTGATCAAAATAATCGAAATGTTAATGTTTTTAATAGGGGTGTTCACTCTACCCTACAGGTAGGAAATATGTTCTTTCGTCTTTCTATTCGATACTTTACAGAAGAATTTTTTTTTAACCTACCCTACCCGACAGATGTGATATTCCTACGCGACTTCCTATCTGATTAATCGGGTAGGAAGTCGGGTAAATATTTTTGTAACAATTAATTTTTGAATCATTTTAACAATTTAATTAAATAACATGCACCAATTTAACAACACAATAAATCAATTAACACTAAAATTTAAAACAACTATAACAAGAATTATAATAAAACACAAGAAAATATGAACATTAATCTACCATAATTGTTACACAAATACAATAACAATTAATTTAAGTTTAAACTTTAAACCACATGAAATACATTAAAATCATAATTGCTCCACTAGGGTTTAGGATTTTTTTTAGTTTATATATATATATATTAAAAAATTATTGTGGGTAGGGTAGGATAGGAATGCGGAAATGGATGGCTATTCCGCATTCCTACCCGAAAATTGTCAGAAGACCAAAATCTCTTTCGCATTTCTACCCGATTTTTTCGGCTAGTTGTTCAATAGGGTAGGAACTTGCGGCTGGTCGAAAATTTGAACACCCATAATTTTTAAGGACATCAAAACGAAATAGTGATAGAATTGAAATTTTAATACTTTCAAGTGTTTAGAAATATTTTGACATATTTGCGCTATTGTTTTAAAATATTTTGGTTTATTTAGACTAATATTTTGGAATGGTTTAAAAATAAATTCATAAATTTTTTATTCATTTTTATTTTATTTTTAAAATATTTTTTTATTTTCTAAGTGATCAAAATAATGCATTGAAATAAAATTTAAGTAATGTTATTGGAACTTAAAAATTGACTTAATTTACTAATATAATGATATGTTAAGTGATAGAATTCCAAATAAAAATTTAAGAGTTATAGCTAAGTCTGTCAATTGCGTCGGATGAGATGAGTTCGTGTCGAGTGTTAGTGGATTTATGATAAAAAATATTTCACTCATATCCAATTTTTTTATTAATTCGTGTCATGTATGAATCATGCATAACTGATATATAAACGAGTCGTATCGTGTATATTTCTTCTAATTGACTTTATTTATATCCGATTCATTTATTAATAGTGTCATATTGAATTTATTCGTTTACTAAACTAGTGGTTTATGGAAGTCCAAACTCTTTAATTTCGTATTCGTGTTCGTGTCCTGTCATATTTTGACACCCCTAATTACCGTCACAAAAACACTATTAAATCACATTTTGATCATAACATTAGATCAATAAATTAAATCAATTTTTTAAATTTCACTAAAATTAGTAATGAAATTTGAATCCCCTCTCTACCCTTGAAACCACCCTCGCCAACCTCCCCAAACACTCCTCTCCCAAATTTACGATTACCCTCAACCCTCTTCAGCTCCTTGACCTTGAAAACCTATCCCACCTATATAAACACCCAACCCCAATTTGAACCCCCATTAAGTTGTTTCTAAAATTATCAGGTTGATTATGGTCGTATCAGTAGTAATTTGAATTTTTTTAAATTTATATTGAAGGTTAAGAAATAGTACGCTCAGTTCACCAGGTTGTATCATTGTAAGGCCAATCATACTTAAAAGAAGAGTTTGATGCTGACTCAATGAAAAAGAATCTTTCGAACACCATGATCCACGTTCTTGATGTTAGCTCCGATCAAAGAAATATACAATCGAGTCTAATCTGTCAAAAAATGAGTTAACATGTATACTGGAAAGGGTCAATTTTACAACAAATGAGCACACACACAATTTCAAGATATAAATTATAATATCAGAGCCTGCTTAGTGCAAAGTAATTCGCTGATTGGGACACATGATCTTACTTGATGCTTCATCTCTAGAGTCGTTGCGGGTTTGGACCGAAAGACTTAATTGAAATAATATTTTAGACTTAGAGATAGAAGCTAATTTGATAAAATTTAGAAGTCATGTTGGGTGGGCCTCTTCTTTACGTGGTATCATAAATCAAAATCCCATTGAAGACATGCTGTCATGGTTGGGTGTCATCAACTACCTCCACACTTAGCTAGGTGATTGAAAAATTTTGGCTAGGGTGACCGATTCATAAATGAGCGGAGTTGGCACGATATAATTAATAAAATAAATTAGGTATTAGTGAAATTAATCAAAAAAATATATGATTCGTTAAACACGAATTAATAAATAAATTAAATATGAGTGAAATATTTTTTGATATGACCTATTAAAATACGATAGGAATTTATCCCACCAATACGATTAATGGGCGTAAATTTGACTGACCGAGTAATTATTAAGAACAATGAGTCAATTATACCCATAACTGACCGATGGACTCAGGGCTGGCCCAACATAAAAGCAGCTCAAAGTTGCTTTGGGTTCCAAATAGGTATGTAATGGTCCTTATTGTCTTCATAAATCTAGCCCAATAACATTCCTAAAGAAGAGGCCTAAACACAAAATTCGGAAAAGGAGTCTGTCTCTTCTCTTTCCATTTTTTTTAACAGTTAGGAGTGTCTAAAGTTAACTTATGTGTATTTTGATTAATTCTCTCTCTAGTTTGGTCAAAAATAGATCATCCATGTCAGAACTAAGATATTTATGAAGGATAAATCACTCATAATCTGACCGTAAAAAATTATCAAAATTCAAATTCAAAATATCTGAATTTACAGTTTATTCATGTTTCTACTTGAACAAAACCTTATAGCTCTTGTATTTCATCTGCCAACTATTAGTTACATCAGTCACATAAAAAACCAAAATCACCCCCTCCCCCCTTCTCTGTCTCTCAATTAATGTAAAAATTTAATTAATAATTTTACATATAACCATTGTGTAGTATTTATAATAAGTCTTTAAAAGGTTTTATTTACAAATTTTGCTCCCAAAATTTATCGAGACAGCCCTGCGTTGGAGCTTGGTGTTTCTTCACGACTTGTCTTTAAATTCAGTGTAATCTAACTAAGGAAAAACAACAATAGTTACCGTGCAATTTAGAGAAATTCCTTTTTTTTTTTTTTGATAATTGAAAAAAAGATGGGGTTAAGAAGCTCTTAGAGACCACTCCGATAACCACTCATTGGTGGGATTATAATGCCTCTGAACACGCTCATTACTCTTCTTGGGAACAAACTTAATTATGCTAGCATAACGATCAACCATTGAGTCCAATATAAACTCCAAAACTCAAACTTCTAATTTCAAGATAAAAAGTTTGGCTAGTACCTCACTAGATCACCCCACTCAATGATAATTTAGAGAAATTCTTTAACTTCACTTGAGTAAAACAAAAGTGAGGTGAGTTAAAATTCCATTCGAAGTAACGTAATAGGATTTGACTTGACCTTGTGCCGTCTTCAATTTTTTTTTTGAGATCGTTTTTTGACAAAAATTGTAAAAGTAAAAAATTGGCAATACCTCTACACGTGAATTTGTGATATGATTTCTAGGAATGAAGTCTGAACAATCTCCCAATCTCTTTCCTGTAAAACAAACAAACTGCTCAAGATCGAAGTGTTTCGATCGAAGACACTCCGATACTTAAGTCAGTAATGGAACATAAAAAATTGCACCAAGACAGGGAGAGTTTAACGTACATTTCTTCTTGGCTCCTTTTGCTTTTTATATATCATTATCCCCTTAGGGTTTCCATGAATTTAGGTTCAAGGTGACACACCTTCCTTTAATTCAGTAGTTGAGTTTGCGAAAGTTACTGATACTTCTCTAATAATTTCTCTTGATATCTTCAGTTTCAAGGATTTTGTTTATCTGATTACCTAGATTTTAGACGAATATTTAACTTTCCATCTATCGTTTTGAACAGCTCGGACATATCGAGTGCCAAGCACATTTGACATTTGCCAAACGGTTTGGAGACTTGGTTTGGCACAAACCGATCTTTTCAATTGTTTTCCTAATTAGTTTTGAGAACTCAACTTGGTACAAGCCTAGCTCGCTTCTTGCATAGCCAAACAGATTGATGAACTCGGTCATAAAGAGAACCTAATTCTTTCTTTGTTTGTCAAATGAACTGATCAGTTCGGCTCGGTCCTCAAGACTAAGTGAATGTCCTGTCACATGACTGGTCTTGTCAAGATCATGTGAGCTTATTTAATGCAGTAACACATGCCATCATGAGGGCTAACTCCTTCATTTGCCCCCAGAAAATGTCTGATAGACGTTTTTCATCTGTCAACCGTTTTCTTAGCTTTTCGTCATCATTGCTTGTACTTTGTGACATCCGTTTTGTTTTGGTGGCACATTCAAGGTATTTAAATATTACCTTTTAGAATTTCTTTTCCTTCATAAACCGCCTCTCTCTTCATATTCATTCACTTCATTTTTTCTGCTTTCAGACTCCCATTCTCGCTCTGTTTTGCTTCTCTGTGCTTTGTCTTCTTCAAGTCTGCTTTATTTCTTTAGCTCCAATGGCCCCTCTTACTCCCTCAGAGGTTCCCGCCTTCAAAATCAAATATAATATTTCAAATGATGTAGATGTAAGGGTCGCTGGGAAAGACGAACCCTTAATAGGCACAAGGGAATCAATCCCCATCCCCACTCGAGCTATCACCGAGGGAGGCGTGCGGTTCCCTC